GCTTCCTTACCCCGAACGATGCCTAACAACATCCCTGCTTAACCTTTCTGCCAGGTAAGAACCGATCCGATCCAGTTTCTCGGGAGCGGACACTGCATAAAATGTCAATTTTTCCATGTCGGCCTTAACAAGCCCATCCTGAAAAAAAAAAAAAAGAAAAAGATGAATAGGTTACCAGGATTTTCACGCTCCTTTTTGTATGTTAAGTGTTACTTCTTTTACTTCTCTCTTTGTGGACGTGCACACTAACATCCATGTGAGCGCTGAACTTGTCTGCAGACGGCCTCCTAGTGCCTATAGGCGGCCAGTCGGCATACTGACTACAGAGAGCTTTCCAAAGCGAAGACGTGCCTCATTAGGCAAAGCACTTAAATGTATCTTCACAGACAACAAATCAGACTCCCATAACCATCTTTTATGGAGAAACAGCTCAACCAACTGCAGCACGTAGGGGATGGGATGTATTCTGATGAAAAGAGCTTTGTGAATAAAATATTTCAATTTCAAAACTTTCAATGTAACAACATTAAGCCTATTTTACTCCTTTATGTATATAACAGCAAACATAGTGCTTTTTTTTAAATGATTCAGGATTTGCCTTTTTTTTTAATCATAAAGCTTTGTTGTACTTAATGAATGAGCAGCTTTCCAAGCTGCATACATCTATGCTAAATCACTGTGTCACAGAAGTCAAAACTACAATAGGCCCTGACATGGACTATGTCACTGTCTCTGTTCTCTGCCCTTTAAAAGGGACGTGCAACAAGAGTAATGTGACGATAACTGACAAGAGCCATCATGCCAACCATCATCTTTGATTTCCTGGTCTAAGTACCTAAATGCTGCTGAGGACGGGGGCAGGGGACGAAGGCGGTAGAGCAACCATGTTAGATGGTGAACCCACAACTGAAAAGGCCAGCAGTTCGCATCTTCCACTGCAGAGGCCGCGCAGCCTTCTGCAGCCAGCACGCTGCTCGTCTGGTGCAGCCGTTCCCTCTTTTCGGACCTACTCCACTCTCCCCAGGCTCCCTGCTATGCCACCTCTCTTTGTCTCATGTCATTGACCACAGTATCCCCCAATGCAACTGCTCCCCTCCCACTCCCTCCCGATAGTTACCTCTTCCCTGTGTCCATCCCTCCATGCACTCCTGCCCCCTGGGCTGTCTCCCTGTGTATAAACAGCCCTTCTTTCTCCCATGATTGTTCTCGCAGTTCCTAACTTTTTGATAAATGGATTATTACGTAAATTCAGGCACTACAGAGACTACAGAAGAATATGATTTAACTTTCTACTGCACATCATTCCAGACTTATGCCGCATCTGTGACAGACTGACACCTAGATGTGCCCACTCATCTACGAGTAAAGATGGGAAACACGGGAGCAGCAGTGTGCACAGTGAGATTCAGGGGTAAAAGTATAGAAATGAAAGCAGGGAAACCTTGGGGAGGTCAGCAGGGGGAAGAATGGGTCAGCAAAGAGAAGGACCAGGAGATGTAGATCAAATTACTTTTGGATCTTCAGGGAATATGTTGTCCACCAGGCGCTTGTACCGAGGACGCAAAGCAGAACAGCAGCAGCATACGCCTGTTACAAAAAAAAAAAAAAAAAAGGACAGAGATTATTAACAGTGTAAATTGACCAATACATTCTAAATATTAATAAAGGGGAAAAAATAAAAGGGCCACAAATAGGAAAAAGCATGCAAATGCAATAATGAAGAAAGGAGAAACTCAAGTGTCTTCTCCCTTCAAAGACACCAGGTCATAAAGGATACACTAAAGCCACCATCTTTTCAAAAGCCTCATATGCAAGTGAAAGCTGGCCAGTGAGTGAGGAAGATCACAGAAAAACGGATGCCTTTGAATGATGGTGAATGATGGCAAAGATACTGAATAGACCACGGACTGCCAGAAAAACAAACAAATCTTTCTTGGAAGAAGCACAGTCAGAATGTTCCTTAGAAGCGAGAAGGGCCAGACTTCGTCTCTCATACTTTGCTCATGTTATTAGGAGGGACCAGTCCCTGGAGAAGGCTATCATGCTTGGTAAAGTGGAGGGTCAGTGAAAAAGGGGAAGACCCTCAAAGAGACGGACGACACTGGCTGCAACGACAGGCTCAAGCGTAGCAACAACTGTGGGGATGTTTGTTCTATTGAACACAGGGTCACCAGGAGTTGAAATTGACTCGACTGCACCTAACAACAACAGATGCCCTATTCCAAAGCAAAGTTCCAAACTGTTCTGGTTCCCAATGTCCACACATACCCCTTACCAAATTCATCCTATACATAACCCTATCATGATGTACTTGCAATAGCAATCCATAATCCTATCAAAGCATATACATTAACCCTATACCTACTACGCAGAAGGCAGGCAATCTACTTCTGCAGTGATACTATCTCAGAAACCCAAGAAGGGGTTGCTATGAGTCCGGTACGGCTCGACGGCAGATAACAACAACAACACACATACTAAGTAGCCCCCTACCTCCTTTCCCCACCCCTGCCCTCCCGCGCTGCGCTCCAGCCACCATGACCTCCTTGCTAGTCCTCACACATGCAGTGCCCTCTCTGTTCTCTCTGTGCACTCCCCCTGAAACAGACCCAGAATCCACATACCTAACTCCCTCACCTCCTCCAAGTCTCCACTCAAGTCTTACCTTCTCAACGAGGCCCACTCTGCCCACCCTTCACCTGCTCTGCCTTGTTCTTTCTTCTAGAGTGCTTCTTGTTCTTTTTTCTAGAGCGGTTTCACCTAGCTATTAAGTAATTTACCTATTATGTTAATTGTTCATTATCTGTCTCCCTCACTAGCAGGCAAGCACAGAGGAAGGTGGAGATCTCTGACTCCCAAGAAACTGGCACACAGCTGCAGGCATTCAAACACGTGCCGAGACTGTGGAGAGATGAATGACTAAAACCGTGTTTCTACCTCAACAATTTCTTCCCTGCTGTTCCTTATCTTCTACCTTTACTAATCTAGCTCAGATCTTACACCTTTTTCCATAGCTTCCTGGTTTCTCATTCTCTCCCTGTGGCCTATGTACACGGGGCATTTACAGATCATCTCTGGCAGGATTATTATCTTGTGGTTTCCCCAAAAGCTTGTTGATATTTGCACTAAATGTATACAAATGACATCTTATATAACATCCTTTCAAACTTACAATTTTTCTGTGTTAATCTCTTAAATTACACTTTACAAAATTAGTATAGTTCAGAGTAGCTTTATTTTTTTAGTCAACATACACTAGTCTGAGAAATTCTTATAGAAAAATGAAATACATCATCTTTATACTAAAATTAACATGAAAACATGATTGAGAATCTGCCACAAATATGACAAAATATCTAATTGATGACACTTATTGACACAAGACCAACAAATAAGTAAAAAACGCCATGAATAAAAAATTATTAAGTAGGCATATACAATATCTAAATAAAAGCAGTCATTAAAAGAAATAGAAAGACCTATTTTGCACTTAGTACTAATGCCAGTGTTAGACAGGTCACCGTGAAAACACATACACTGCAAACTCTGTGATTTGAAATCAGATTTAGCAATACATATGAAGGGTCATAGGAGCTCTGGTAGCATAATGGCTAAAGCATTTGACTGCTAACCAGAAGGCTGGCGGTTCAAACCCACCAGCCACTCCTCGGAAGGAAGGTTGGGCAATCCTACTTCCGTAGTGATACTGCCTCAGAAACCCAAGGAGGGATCGCTATGAGTTGGGGCCGACTCGACGGCACATAACAACAACAACAACAACATGAAGGGTCATAAAATGCCCTCATCCTTTGGTCCAGTAATCCTACATTCAGAAATTTCAGCTTAAGATATGAAAACAAAGAGGCCAAAGAGCTGCATGCAAATGGATGTTCTTTGCAGTGATTACACCTATGTCAAAAACCACCACCAAAACCCTGCAAACTACCAGCCTACTCCCAGCAGAAGGCAGGAGAATACACCACCATGCTGGGTCCATGACATTCTTGTAGCTTGGGGCCTTAGACAATCGCGACCACTGTACATATATAAGCCTGCTATGTGCCCGACTGTTTACCACATTCATCTACTTACCCCATCTCCAGTTCTACCTCTGACCCTGCAAGGCAGGGGTTGTTACCAATTGTGGTGCAGTGAGTTACTTGGTATGGCTTTTCTAGCCATGGTCTCTGTAATGCCCACATCACTGGGTAGGGAAAAAAAAAAAAAAATCACTGCTGTTGAGTCGCATCTGGCTCACAGCGACCCCTCTTTGGGTTTCTGAGGTGGTAAGTCTACAGAAGTAGATTGCCCAACTTTCCTTCCAAGGAGTGACTGGTGGGTTTGAACCACCAGCCTTCTGGTTAGCAGTCAAATGCCTTAGGCACTACACCACCAGACGCAAATGTGAGGTGCTTTGTGGCCCACCAAGGGAAATGGGCAAATAAGGTGTACGGAACCCTGAGATGGGCACTGGTCAGTTTTGTCATTCTGCTAGGCTTAAAATGAACCACCCTAGGGGGTGGAGGGAAATCTCACTGCTGTCAAGACAAAGAAGGGCCACGAGTGGAGTGCGTCCGTGGACCCGAGATCCCTGCACTGAGGCGACAGCAGGCAAACCAGCCAGAAATGGCGGCAACAGAACCGGAAGACCAACACGTGACAGAGCAGTGGTCTGCTGGCTCATGGGGTGAGAACTTGGAGAGCCTTTGGGCAGGAGGCTTGCTGGCAGAGTGGGGTGCACCTGGCTGCCCCTATCGGCAGAGCTACAAGTGGTTTGTAACACATTCCCCAGCAGGGCAGAGGCCAGGCTGACAGACCAAGGGCCAAAGAGTGGCATGCCTGTGGGCATGGCCGAGGGGAGGCTTTCTCAATCAGCAATTGCATCCTGAGCATTCCTGAGCCTGAACTGTAACCTGCTGCTTCCCTAATAAACCCCATAATCCTGAGTACGATCTGTGAGTTCCATGTAGCCACTGCAAGGGATTACTGAAACCAGCAGAGAAGCAGTGAGTGCCGTGGGAGGGATGGTGGGTGTTAGAACTGGTAAAAGGTTGGAGGATGACAGTACGTCTCACTTCCTCCTCACAGGAATCAATCTCAGGCTGTTGCTGCTGGTCCTTATCTCCTTCCCTTGTGAAGTTAAGAGCAGGTCAGAGGAGGCCGCCTCCACGCCCTTTCTGCACATATTTTACTGATGAAGAAACTGAAGTTCAAAAAGATAAGGAGAGTTGCTTAAAGTCACAAGATCTTGAATCAGCTCCAGAATAACCATCTCTTGGCAAAATCTGTATTAGATATGAGTCAGACACAAAGATTTCGAGAGGAGAGTCAGTAAGTAACCACAGCAAGTCTACACACGCCTGTCCACTCCTGGCACAGTAGTGCGTGCGTCCACACGACGCATCCCACAAGGAACTGGGGCAGCGCAAAGGCGAGTCTAGACTTTGACCAGCCACACAAAGGCTGTCTTATGCATTTTCGGTTGCTGTCATCTTGGAAAGAGCAATGGGTTTTGACCCAAAAGGCCTGGGTTCATTCCAGTTTTTTCACTTGAGCACCTGTGTACCCTTGGGTGGGAGACATCAGCTATATTGAAAAAACAAAAGGAAGAGATCGGTTTTCTTGTTCTACAAACCCATCACTTAGCAGGAATGTTGGTTGTCAGCCATTATAAAATTACTCCGTGATTTAGGAAACTGAGAAGGGGGGTGCACCTGTATGTATTTAGTGACCAAAACTTGAGAAAACATTTGAACCAGGAGAGACGAGAACTTGGTCTCAGGCATACCTCCGCCACTACACTTTACTGAGTAACCTTACACAAGAGGAACTTCCCCAGATCTCCTTTCCCTCATGAAGCATGCTCCATTCATTCATGCAGTCATATCCCACCACCACCCCACGTCAACAGAGGGCCCCGCACCAGGGACCAAAGCTATCAGCCTCTGCCTGCAGTCAGGCGCTCAGCTGAGCGGAGCTGTGAAAGCAGCGACAAAGGGCTGGAAGAGTCTGACGTGTGCAGCACCCGCCGTGACCACACAGCTCTGTGCGCACATCAGCTAACCTGGGCAACCTTCGGAGATATATTCCCATGCCCACTTAACAGGCACACCAATGGCAGCGGGATGCATCCAGGACCGAGACCCTCAAACGCCACGCTCGTCTCACCACATGGGAATCCCCGTGGTCACATCAGTCAATATCCCAGTATTTAATCTGTACCTACTAGGTTCAAACCCACCAGCCACTCCTCAGAAGGAAAGTTGGGCAATCTACCTCCGTGTGATACTGCCTCAGAAACCCAAGGAGGGGTCACTAGGAGTCAGATTCGACTCTACAGCAGTGTATTTGTTTTTGTTACGGGACTAATGCTATACTACGCCAGATGTCACACAAAAAAGACAAAGAGACAACACTTCCGTCTTTAAGTTTATAAACTCTTATTAAAAAATAGTAACTAATTCGGTAGTATATACTTTGCCACTGTCTGCTGATAAAATATTGCCCATTTTTCAGGATGCTTTCTAACTTAAAATATATTTCAAAGATTCCATTTGGAGATGTTTTAGGTTAACTAACATCAAAAT